TTGTAACGTAGCATTCACTACGCTACAATATTTGCAGCCACAACCTACCACAAATCTATCCTACGTTGTAAATATGTATGAACATACGATATGCTTACCCACATACACCAGGCATGTACATACGATGTATATACATATGGGTACTTACACACACATACCAGCATGCGCTAAAAATAGAATACGCAAAAGCAAAGCACAAGCAGGCATGCGCGCAAACACACGTGGGAAGTTCGTTGGGCACTTGCGCGAAAACTTTTAAAACTTTTTCAGCTCGTCTTACTTCGCAACCGACTTGTGTGACGACGGGTATGAGGTTCTCTACAAGTGCTTATCCGCTATCAGTCTCCGTAGGTAAGGGAGCGCGTACGTCGCCTTTTGGCAGATGAGCGCAATCCTATCGCTTACGCAGAACGCCACATGGCCGAGGGGACTGTAGGAGGGGTCGTCACAGAGTGTAGATGCATCATCACACTTTGTAGACGTTGTCGTTGCTTTTTGCAACGATGTACTCCCCTCGTACAGGTCCCAAGGCCGTCGTGGAAGATCGCACTCTCCCGTGCCGCCAACCGTTTCGCACCTACATCGTTAGTGTGCAACTACGAGGGGCGACACAGGTGTGTCCTTAGGGCCCACTAATCAGTCTCCGTAGTCTCCTCATTGCAGGCCGCTGCAAATCACCGTCATTGGAGGCCGCCACCACTATCACTGTAAGTCATCACCAGCTGGGCCATTACAACCTCGCCTAGGCTAACCCCTCACTATCCGCCAGCCGCCTCCGATAAGTCGCCGGAATCCAGGAGCGCTGCTCCCTCCGTCCCCACAAGCTAGGGCCGCTGCCGCTGCCTTCGCTATTAGGGCCCCTGCCGCCGCCTTCGTTATTAGGGCCGCCACCGCCGTTGCCGCCCTGGGCCGAAGCCATCATCACGCCCCTCCCGTCAGCCGATTGCAGTAATCACCGCGATACAGGAGCGCTGCTCCCTCCGTCTCCACAAGTTAGGGCCGCTAGGGCCTTCGGTAGTGGGACCGCCCCATCGTTACCGCCCCCGGGGCCAAAGATAGTTACCCGTCATCGCTATTGAGGCCGTTGCTGCCACTCGTCGCAGGCCAGGACCGCTGTCACCGTCGCCGTAGAGTATCACCGTCGCTCTGATTGCCGCTACGCTCACCGTCGTCACCGAGTGCTGTCACTCTCACCGTTACCGATCCATAGCCGTTGTTATTCTCGCCACTACCGACCCGTCGTTATTCTCACCGTTACCGACCCATAGCCGCTGTTACTCTCCCTCTCTCTCGCTTCTTGGACAAAAGGTTGCCGGCGCTCTGGCCATATCTCGCCTCGTGTGTGTGAGTGTGTTCTACGTATTACACTAACTATTGTGTTTTATTTGGTGGGGGTTAGTGGAACCTCCATTGTACCCTGGGTCGGCTGAGCGTACCTCAGCCTTCGACAAAAGCTACATCAAAGATTTGGACATCATATCTACTCCGATGCCTACTAAAGTAAAAACTCTACCGCAGGGGCATTTCTATACTCATAAATTACCTGGGAGCTTATTTTCACAGACGGTTCCAGATATGATACCGGCTGTTCTTTGTGGTAACAAAAGGGCTTGATATTACAATTGTCATCGGTTCTTTTCCCGCGTACTGCTCGGCATTTACAATTGCTAGAAGCTGTACGTTTCGCCTCTAAAAACGAACGAAATTTCCTCACATGCACGGAAGTAAATCAGCCATCGAAGCCCTCTTTAACAGTGCTAATGATTCTCATATAATTTCGAAATCACGTGAAATACTCTTTCATTATTCTGCAAAACCCGATCTTTAAACTAAAATAAAATGAATTAAAAGTAAAATCCTAGTTTTAATATATAGCGTGAATTTTTAAGACATGCGTGGGTACTCAAAATTAGTAACACTTTTAAAAATAACTGTCAAAACATTTTTTTTGCTCTCCTGAAAAATTGAGTTTTTGCAAATAGAGGGTATTGAATATAAGCCCTCGATATACAAACATTTTAAAAGATTTGTTATCTTTTTAATTTTTTCCTTGCTAAACATAAAGTTTTTCATAAAAATTAAAATATCTTGGGAAAATGATCTGATACACAGAACCATGATCTAGGATCCAAAATTAAATTTAAGTGTCTCGGCGCTTTTTGGGTCATTTGAAAACTTGAAATTTTCCCTAGAGTGTTACAAAAATAATTTTTCCCTCCTATAGTAAACAAAAAATGTTTAATGCAATATCGAATTTTTAATTTAATAAAATTGTTTTTGTTATTTTATGGCATTTTCCACAATAAATTTTTCATTAAAAAACGGCCTCAAGCTTATTAAAAATTGTTGAATTTAATTAAATTTTAAAAAAAGTTCTTAAGTCTCTAACACATTATTAATTAACTTATTAGATTTTTATTTTATTGACATGAACATTTTATTCTAAAGAATTTTTTCTCAAATAAACTCATTTTATAGATTTTTAGTCTAATTTTACGTTTATATTTCTTATCAAATTTTGCAAAAAATGGGCTTTGTGGCATAGCGAATAGCATTAACAAATTTTGTTAGAAATTGGAATTCAGCTAGTAAAGACCGCCGACCCCGATAAGTAACTAACAAACGTATAATTTTTATCAGTTTCTTCATGCTCGCACCTACGACTTTTAATGTGTCAGGCAAGATTAAGGAACTATCGAAACGGTCTGGGAAGTGAGGAAACATCTTTTGATAGTTCCCCAAGTGACATATAAAAATCAGCTTTTATACTATGACGAAAGTATGACTACAATTTTTCATGGTTTAAGGGTGTCTGGCAGGGAGTTGGAACCATGTTAAGTGTCTGCCAATGAACGACGTAGTAAAATATATAAAAACTGACCTTTACACTATAACGAATTTTAGATGTTATTTTATACATCTCAACTCCCACCGCTCGCGCAAGAATCCTGCATCTGACACCGCAATTCTGCATGTATTCAGATGCAGGAGAGCGCTGCTAGAGCCTCGGGGCTAGAGCCGCGGGGCTGGGGACGGTTGGTATCTCAGTCGTTGTCGTCAAGTTCCACTAACGGCAGCCCTAGGAAGCGTGCAGCTTCTGTGGGGTTGGTCCACAGGGACCAGGCCGTTAGGGTTGTCTGGTTTTCCGGGCATGCGAAGAGATGTTTCGAGTCATGTGGGGTCTCTCCGCATGCTGGACACTCATTTGGCACATCCTCATTCAATCTACTCAGGTAGGAGTTTAACCTGCTGCAGTAGCCGGAGCGAAGTCGTGCTAGTGTCGTTCGAGTCTCCCGAGGCAGATGAAGCTCCGTCTCGTCAGTGTCCGGGGGCGGTATGCCTAGAACGGCATTCACAGGTCTAGAGTCTACATAACTCGAGACTGACTCCCTGAATGCCGTTCAGGGCCAGTCGGTAAGCGGAGTACGAATTTCACGTATCTCGCAAGTGCTTCCCACTTGTCTGCACTGGAGATCATTATCCCAATTATGTTGTTCGCAGTTATGTCTCCGTATCTCTCTTCCAACATTCTGTGCGCAATCAAGAAGTGTTCGCAAGTGAAGAATTTATGGTGCACGTTATCTTCGACGTTTCCACTGTAGTGACAGAACGGTGAGTCCACCCTTCCCATTCTATGAAGATATTCTCGGAAGTAACCATGACCGGTGAGGAATTGCGTCAGGTAGAAATCGACTTTCCCATGCGGTCTGTTCTACCATGTTTGAAGGTCGACTATCAGGGTGGGTGTCCATCGACCTTTTGTGCTCGCGTTCCAGTTTTGTTGATACTGCTGGATTAGTTGCTCGCGCGCCCTTGCTGCGGCAGCTGCTCGGCCTATCTCGGCACTGAGATTGTAAATCTCTTTTCGCTCGTACGCAAGTAGCTCAATTGGCATGACGCCAGAAATAACTAGAACCGCGTCCTTGTTCATAAACCAGTTGGTCCAGCAGGTCATCAACTACCCTGCTCCTGTTCATATTGCCTTGTATAAATTTAATCATATTACCCCAAGCTTTGTCTTAGCCTCAGCATCCCTGAAGGCCTTGCACGTTCCCGACCCGGGCATGTGATTGGCATTTTTCTGTCCATCTCTTGCCGAGCACCTTGCGCTTTCTTTACATGCAGAGGCTTCTTCTGGGCCTTTGCATGCCGCCTTTTTGTGGCCATTTTCCAGACAACGGAAACACCTTTGGACATCAGCGCGCTCTCTCGGACACGGCAGATAATCCAACGTACTCGCAACTTCCCGTTTTCAATAAGAGTCCGGCCTGGCATTTCGTCGATTTCCACCACGGCCATTATTTGTTCTCGCGAGTTTACAGCGAGGAGACGCGAAGTTGGCCACTCATCTTGTCTCCTAATTCTCCGCGNGAGACGCGAAGTTGGCCATTCATCTTGTCTCCTAACTCCCCGCGTATAGCGTTCTCCACTTCTGGGGCCGTGGTTAGGCAGTCCATGCCCAGAACTTCTAGACGTAAACGTCTAGTGAGAATACGGGCGTCTCCAAGCTGGCCAATGGCAATGCACACATTTTCCTTAAATGCTGAGTGGTCGCCACAGCGCTCCATTTCGATAAACACGCCACCTTCGCGGGTTTTCCGAACAGATCGAATTACGGTCTCCGTCTTCTCAGGTTGAAGCTTACCACGTATCGTTCCCAGCACCTCTTCATAGGTTTTTCCCTCAGCTGGCTTAATGATTAGTTTGGCAAGACTCTTCTTTTTTCTCACCCTCTTCTTTTTTTTTGCGGCTGGTCGCCTCGCCCTTATTGACCAAGGTTTCACCTGACGCTGGCCCTGGCTTGGGCTTTCTGCGTTTTCCAACAGTTTTCCATTGATTATCTGGTACGGTTTTCTGCGGATTATTATTATTATTATTATAACCACTATTATTATTATAACCATTATTAATAATAATATTATTACTACTACTATTATTATTATTAGTATTTTTTTTCTTTTCCGGCTCGCCTGTAGGGGAGTCGGATCGAGTTCGAGCTCTTTTGCGAGTCTGGGCCAGTTTTCCGCAGCTCGGAAAGGGTAAACCCCTTCCGCCGCTGCTCTCGGAGGTAGCTTAGTATATTTAAGCTCTCTTCGATTTGGGCCATACCCATGGACATATTTTTCTGCTTCGAGACAGAACTCTGCATCTTCTTCAAGACGAGCCGAATCTGGGCCAATTGCTCATCTTCAATGCCTTCGAAAGTTCCAAGCTTGCGGTGACATGCTTATCGCTGTTTGCATCAGCTGGTGTTTGAATTAGAGATGGGCACGGGCCTAAATTTTCAGGCCCGGCCCGGCACGAGTGCAAAATCAACTTTCAAAAACACGCACGAGCCCGCACATTAAGAATTTGAGTGGCCCGGCCCGGCACGGTGGGACACGTCCCAGCCCGGAAATAAAGAGCCAACTTTTATTATATGTATACATATGTACATATTTTTAATTTTGTGTTTATGTATGTATATTTACTTATTACTTACTTTTTATAATATATTATCTGGGAAGTAAAAAAAGTGGAAGGTATTTTATGTACAGATATGTAAACAAAACTACTAAGTATCTTATTTTTTCTATCGGTTTCCAAATATTTCCTTTTTTGCTTTTCTCTTATCTAAAGAGGTTTAAATATGTACTATTTTTTTTATAAAAACAAAAGCTTATCTAAATTTGTAGTTTTAGCAACGGGCTTTTTCGTGCTTATTCGGGCTTTTATGAAATTTTACTGAACGCCCATGCACGCACGAGTTCGGGCTGACAGCAAATATTCCGGCCCGTACCCGCGGGCTGACGCAGGTGCCCGTGCCCATCTCTAGTTTGAATACGACTATCTCGGCTGTCGGGAGTTGTCGTTTGGCAATGTGTAGCCTTCTGCGCCACGTTGGCAGCTTTCTCCGTGCTCGTGGTACCGGCATTTGCCTGCAGAGGAGTTTGTGGCGGGGAGCGCACAACTCTACCGCTCTTTCTGAATACGAGCCATTCTTCCTCCAGAACATCAACGTCGGTTTCGTTTGTCTGTTTTTGTTTTAATTTATTAATTTCAAATCAATTGGGTCTCCGCTTCAAGCCGCTATCTCCACACGTAGTCGCTTTTAAGTGTCCCAAAGTTCCCTTCTCTCAAAGGAGCAGGCAATCGCGAGGGTTGTCACAAGTCCTTATGGGATATTGTGTTCAGAGCCAAGACAGCGCAACACCAGGACCTGTGCGGCCAACTAAATGGCGGCGTGTATTGAACGTACTTGAAGACCTGCCAGGGTTTTAACGAGACGGAGGCGATTGCAGCATTAGCCCACCAGCCATTTCTGTGAGGTGTCACTATCACATACTAAAGCTTCACCCCTAGGTATTTTGTAGACCTAGAAGTTGTGACGAGTTGAGTATTATTATTATTAGCGTAAAAATGTGCTGCCAGGTGGCGCTGGAGTCGAGTTATTACTAAAAATCGTCAGTGAGAAAAGGTGCCATGAATGTCAGATTAAATCGACCTATTGCACTATTGAGTATATCGAACTCTCCTGTGTTACGAGCTTAACTGATAACCGTTCGTGAGTACAGACGTGCATAGTTTTTTTGCTCCATTTAATCAGTAAATTTACGTGGTATTTCTATAAAATAAAATACAAAGTTGATATCTTTCTGTTGCCGTTGAGCCGGCGATTCACCTGAGTGAATTATAAGCAAATTTAACTGTAAGCTCTAGTGTTACGCTTGACTTTGTTACTGCCTGTGTTTATTGTTTTTGGATTTACTAAGGTATGTCACCGGGGAAGCTGCACTTAAAAGGCGCTTAAGTAAAGGTTCCCCTCGTCTAAAACATTGAAACTTGATGAGAGTGTCGCTGCTTTGCGTCAATATTAACTGCGATTCGCGAACTTGAGGAGAAAATACAGTGTCAGACAGAGAAATTACAGTCTCTTTTCGATAGTCTCTCTAGCAAAATAACCGAAGTAGAGGCTGCACTAGTTAAGAAGATACACAGAAGTCGCTGTGCTTACCTCGAAGGTGAAAGACTCTGCTGAGCGGATTACTTCCTTGGAGACAAAACACCAGAGGTATGAAAGCGAAGTTGAGCAGCTGCGCCTTATGGTTGAGTAAGTGGAATCACAGAAAATTGCTCCCGAAGTTGCTGCTGACACAGTTGTTTTTGGCATACCGTTTATCGAAGGAGAAAATTTAAAGAGAACATTTAATTTGGTGTTCATGTTCCGCAAATAAGAGACATCTTCCGTATCAAGCGCGTGAATGGTAACACTAGCAGCGTAGTGATCATAAAATTTTATACACCAATTGATCGCAATCGTACTCTCCGCGCTTTCAGCGACTACAGAAGGAGAACTAAATCTGCAGTCTCTATTATATCTGTTGTTGGTCTCGAAGGTACACTATCTATATTTGAGAGTCTGGCTGCTGCTACAAAAAAGATATTGCAAGAGGCTATACGGTTAAGATGAGCTGGAAGATTGGTTTCCGTATTTACTCTGCGTGGTGCTGTGTATATTAGAGTTAACAAAGGTGCTTCTGCTATAAAAATTCATAAGCAAAATGATTTGCAAAAATTCTGTTGACACGTTATATTCATTCTCTTTTATGCTTTATTCGTGTACTCTTAGTTTAAGTATGTATATGTTTTCTTTCTTTGTAAAGATGGGTCATCTTTTAATTATTTACTTTGTATTAGAATGCGTTTATTTTTCATTTTGTTTTGTAGTTGCTTTTGTTTGTATGCTTTATGGTAGCTTATAACGGCAAACTCGATAGCATTGGTGACAACAGCCTAGCTATGTTAAATATTTTATGTAAGCAACAGAATGGGCTTAACATTGTCCATTTCAATGCCCGAAGTTTTAATAATATGAAAATGGACTATGTTAGATATGTGTTTGAGTCTTCCGTAGTAGATGTATTATGTGTATCTGAAACCTGGTTCTCCATTGATGTGGTTGATGCTCACTTTGATATAAATAATTACAGGCTTATACGTAATGATCGGATCGGTAAAAAAGGCGGTGGTGTTGCGATTTACTGCAAAAACCACATTAATATAAAACTTGTATGTGAGTCAAATAATGATGGAATCGAGTTTTTATTTGTTGAATTGTCTGACCGTTTGCAAAAAGTTCTTGAATCCTGTGTCTATAATCCCAATAAGTATGTTTGTGAAAATATCATACTTTGTGGTGACATAAATGATCTTGTTCGTGATTCGCTGTGTTCCTCATTTTTTGATAACGTCGCAAGTATTGGTCTCTCTGTTGTCAACACCTCGGTGCCTACTAGGTACAGCAACAACTGTAACCCTAATCTTCTTGCCTATTTTGTCGTTTCCGATCGCTCTTCTTTGTTAAGGTTTGATCAGATTTCTTTTGTTTCTGACCACGATTTCATTTTTTGTTCCCTTGACCTTAATTTTAATGCCAGTAACGCAGAAAAAATATATGCCTATAGGGACTTCCGCTTACTTGACTTGAGTGCTCTATACTTAGAACTAGATAATGTTAATTGGTGTGACTGTTGGTATTATGAGTCTGTGAATGATAAACTTGATTTTGTATCTAATTTGTTATTATCTCTTTATAATGCTCACGTTCCACTACGATATACCAAAACTACTTCGTGTCCATGGTTTACCTCCAAAGTCTTAAGGGTCATACAATTTCGTACCAAAGCGTACCGCAAATGGAAAAGAGGTCGTACTAGCGCGAATTGGGAAGCTTTTCGCGCAGCAAGGAATAAAGCCACTTCAATTATTAGAGCTAGAAAGCACCGTTTCTTTGCAGTCAAGCTGGATCCTTCTCTCCCTTCTGCTACTTTGTGGCGAAATATTAAAACTCTTCGTATATATTCCAAGAACCAACCTAAGTGTATGTTAGATGTTGATAGTTTGAATGACACTTTTCTGTGCAGTGCTTCGTCTAACGGTTGCTTGTCAAAACTTGTTCCATCTGCTTCGGCCTTTTACTCTGACGTACCTTTCGAGTTCTCAACGGTATCGGAAGACGACGTGTATAGATGCATTTTGAAAATTAAGTCGAATGCAGTTGGAGAATGGATTACCCATCAAATTTTTAATATTAGTAATGCCTTACATTATAGAACAATTGACTCATATAATTAACCACTGTTTTACTACATCTTGTTTCCCAAACTTATGGAAAGTTGCCTCTATTTGTCCTGTTGCCAGAAACAAAAATGCGACTTCCCTGTGTGATTTTCGTCCGATTAGTGTCCTGCCTGTTTTGTCGAAAGTGCTAGAGTCTTTAATGTCTGAGCAAATTTTCTCTCACATGTCTACCTAAAACTTGTTATCACCTTACCAATCAGGCTTTAGTTGAGGGCATGGATTTTCAACCGCGATGGTTAAAATTATGGACGATTTGCGAATTTCTTTCGACAAAGGTCACATATCCCTGCTGTGTTTGCTTGACTTTTCAAAAGCATTTGACTCAGTTGAACATTCACTGCTTTGTTCAAAGCTTTCTTATTACTTTGGTTTCGGTAAAAATGCACTGTCGCTAATTAGAAGTTACTTAACGGGTAGAACTCAATGTGTTAAGGTTGGCTCGGTAGCCTCGCAGACTAAACCTCTGATGAGTGGTGTTCCCCAGGGGTCCATTTTAGGTAATCTATTGTTTAGTGCCTTTATAAATGACATTTTCTCTACCTGTCAATATGTAAACATGCACGCATATGCAGATGACATCCAGATATATTTGTCCGGGCAAATTAATGATGTGGTCAGAGTTAGTTGTAATTTGAACGAGGACCTATGCTCCATCTCTCTCGATGGGCTGCGAATAACGGCCTTCGTCTTAGCCCCCTAAAATCGTATGTTCTGCCTGTCTGCAAAACAAGAATAAGTTTTAGC